TCGCTCCACGCTAGGTTTCCTTTCACTCATCTGTCTTGTGCTTTATCTTTCATGCCTGCAGAGCAAAACAAAGTGTCTCTACGCAACCTGTCTATGGTGCTGAGACAGCTGCCAGCAGTGGACAGCGACGCCCATAGTAAGCAGGTGATGGAGAGTGTGGACATGGCGCGGCAGGCTGTCCAGCTGGATGTCACAGACGGGACGTCGTGGTGTGAGTAGAGCTTCTGGGTACTTAATAAGCAAAGAATATGATAGAAGTGGTGGTACTCCTTTTTTCTTTCTGCATGAGGGCGCAGTTATTCAGATCCAGAGTGATTGTACAAATTATGTGCAGACCTAATATGGAAGTATATTGACGACAAAAGATTTGATCTTTGGGAGTGCACAGGCACAGATTTCACTTTTGGCAGTCTGAATCCCTTGAGAGCAAACTCAAACCTAGAGCTGAGAGTCAGCTGTTCAATTTGATAGGAAATGAAGGGCCTTCCTGTCACACCCCTTTTTCACCCACCAAATGCAGACAAAGAACAGCATTTGGTGTCTGTATTATCTTAAAAGTTAAAATGCATTGACACTAAATGATAAAAATCACATTCAGTATGTCGGCATTGTTTTTAAGCCATTATCAGTAACTTTTTTTCTTTTCATAAATAATATTAACAGAGAAAATTATTGGAACCATTGTGAGAAAAACATTTTATGAATGAGGCTCATTGTCACGGCCGAGCGTAATGCTGCCCTCAGAAGTCTAATGAGCCTGATCTGGGGTTGTTGGGTTTGCTGTGTTCTGATGTGACTCCATGTGGGATTCAAAGAATTAATGGTTAAAACAAATAATGATAAAATGAATGGGCTGTGGCTGTATTCAGAATGACCGCATTTTCGTAACAGAAATGGTGCAAATCCGACATACCGGTATGAATAAATCAGGCGATGGTAAAAGGCTCCGTCAGATCGCAAGCATTACACATGCCCCAAAATGATTTCAATTGTTGGCTAAACTAAAAGACCTATAGGAATATATTATAGTGTCCTAAACATTCATAAGGTCTCCAATGGCAGCTTCCAGAGGAGCAATATATTCTAAAGCTTTTTTACTTGTACATATTTTTATAAAGACCCCGATGTACGAATGTGGGTGTGTGTTCTCACAAATCGGTGCCTGTGGCGCTGTCAGATGTTTAATTGGAGACTAAGTAGCACTCAGAATTAGTTTTGTGCTCTCTAAAATCCATGACCATCACTATCCTTCCATATCCTGAGATTGTATTTTATGTTATTGTTTTTACAGATATCCTGGGAAATGCTTATGTGTCCCTGTTTTTCACGTGCGGACAGAATCCACAGTTGTCTCAACAAGCTCTAAGTGCCTATGCACAATCTGTGAGTACTGAACACTGAACATGTTAAAATCTACCAGCACAAACTGCACTGTTGTACTAATGTTTTACTGCTCTCTTGTGCTTGTGTAGGAGAAAGTGGACAAGGCGGCCTCTTGTTACCCGGAGCTGCATTTCAACCGATCCACTCTGTTCCAGTATGAGGAGATGTTTGGGTCTGCGCTTGCTGGCTACAGCCGAGCCGCGGCGCTCGACCCGGGCTGGGAGGAGCCTCCAGAGAAAGAGAAGCAGCTGCTGGAGTATCTGAAGAAAGTCACAGAGCTCATACAGAACAAGGTAGGGAGTGTTGCTCATTCTCATCACATCAGTTTAGAAACCATTTACAAATCAAAATGTATCATAACATTCAGCAATTTAGTTTTTAGGCACTACAACTACTGATGTGTCTGTCAGGACGGCAATCTACACGTTATTTTATTGAGTAACTGATTGTTTGGTCTTCCTATCACATCCCATCACAAGTTTCCAGAGCCTAAGGGGGACGTCTTCACATGTCTTCTTTTGTCAGATCAGCAGTTTAAAACCCAAAGATATTTATATCACTGTTGCAGAAGAATAAGGAAATACTCACATTTGATCATGTTCTCTTGCTGTCATATTCAGCTTCCAATATTTCTTTGGTCAGATAATAATGCCTGTCTCCATCTTGCTAAAGGTTGGTGGACAGTCAGACGATAGAAATGAGGAAAGGACTTTAGGACTGACTATTCGTTTTGTCACCCAATCATTATTTAGCTCTAGTAGAATTTTAATTTCTTGGCAACAAAACCAGAGTTTAAGAAAGACATAATAAACTTTACTGAAAATTCCGTTTCCTGATGTAATAAAGAAATAATTCAAATAAAAGAGCAAATTGTTTGAAGGGGGAAGAGGGAATGTATAATAAATGAAATAATAAATGAAAGAAGCTGGAAGAATTTGTTATTAAATAAATGAATATGCCTGAACTTGTTTAATAGAAAGAAATATGTTTTAAGGTGTGTGTGTGTGTGTGTGTGTGTGTGTGTGTGTGTGGTACTTTGACCTCCGTGCTATAAAATGTCACCTTGAGCCTGTTTGCTTACATTGTCATAAATATCAACAAGATGTTAAAACGATTAAACTTTTCACCACAAGGTGGCAGCAACATCTCTGGTTTTGCTCCCAACCTTCAGTGTCTCCATCTCTGCAGGGGAAGGTGAAGGCGCGTCGGTTACGGACGATGCTCTCTAACCTCAACACGTCGGCCTTGGGTCCCTGCGCCTCTCCTCATTTCCGCTCCCCGACCGGCCGCGTAGGCAGCCTGGAGCCTCGAACTCTTTCCTCCCTCACACACGGTCACAACACCAGGGTGGCCGCCCTGGGCAAGGTGGTGTTCAGTCTGGCCTCTGAGGGTCGCATGGCTTTGTGAGTGCAGCCTATTTTCATGAAGGGTGCATTTATCCATATGTTTTTTGCTGTGGGGAAATAAAGTGGTAAAATCATCAAACACTTTCTTGTTATTTTTCTCCAGCACGTTTGGCATGGTGGACAGCGAGGAGACCTGTATAGTGGTGATGGTGTACAACACGGCAGACAGCTGGGGCGTCCTGATAGGAGACACCGTAGTCATTCCTGAACCTCAGCTCAAACGAAACAGTATAACGCATAAAGATGAGGTGGGTGTGTGTGTGTGTGTGTGTGTGTGTGTGTGTGTGTGTGTGTGTGTGTGTGTCAAAACGTATACAATTACATCTTTGTCAATGGTCTGACTTTTATATTTCCTCTCTTTGGCAGTCATTTGACTTCAGAAGTATACGAGTGGACTCGCCTCTGCTCCTCATTGTCAACGGCAAGAAACAAAACGTCCAAAGTCAGATTGCTGCGTCTGTCAGCTACAAGCCCCAGAGCGAATGAGCTGAACAAGAAGTGAAGAGGACCAATTAATAATGAACGTTTTTGAGAGTTTCCAAAGTTTGTGCCTATTGTATGTGTTGTTCTGTAAATAGGTCGCACCCTGTTATTTTGTCTTTAGAAACACTTTGTTTATATTTATAAATATTTCTTTTGTTTTTGTATTCTGTTGTTGTGCAGACAACAATGAGTTGTTTTAGTAAATGAATGAACCTGTGATAATGAGGATGTGATGTCAGAATGGTGATTTAAGTTTACCCTGAAAGAAATCCTTTTTATCGTAAACACATTGTTCGAGTCGTGTCTTAAAACAGGGGGTCATGGGGCCACCTGGCGCTGTCTGAAATGTACTAAAATGGTATTTCATTCACTTTTCATAGCAGATATTTTGAGCGAGCTAAACTGATCATCCATTTTTCTATTATTTGTGTCTACTGTGACATGTCAAAATATCTTCTGTGAAAACTACGTTGACTGTCTAGTGTCACTCATCATAGATAGTTCAAAGACGCTTATTGTTGCGGTCGTATTGGCCCGTTTGAAAGCTTCTTTGTTTGTTTGTTATACAGTGAAAAACTTCCTGTTAGACACAATAAGGACCTTGATGGCTCTACTTAATATTTCCAACTGGAGCGCAGGTGGCTCAGTCAGTGGCGTGCCCACCCCAAGTGCAAGGCTGAGTCCTTATAGCTGTAGCCGCAGGTGTGATTCCAGCCAGGGGCCCCTTGCAGCACGGCGTCCCCCTCTCTCCCCCTCACTTCCACTCTCTGTCCTATCCAAAAAAAGGCTAAAAAGCCTATATATCTATATCAATCTATTATTTTTATATATATATAGAGAGATATATATCTATAGAGAGATATATATCTATATAGATAGATATATATATATATTCCAATCAACAAACAACCACTCGGTCAGGTTCAACACCGCAAGTCAATGACACCACCTGTTATTCATTCTGTATTGTAAAAGCCATCCATTCTTTGTTTAGGTTACGGTTAGACTAACCCTTACCCAAACCCCCCCTTAACTTCTTATACTTTTCATATATATATATTAATCACACATGAAAATACTAAAACCAACCCGGTGGAGTCTGCCTGATTACATTAATTACTTTAAATCTATGGGGTTTTTTTATTTTAAATTAAACAGGTGAAGCATAAACTCTTATTTTTGGTAAATCTGAGACAAGCTACATTAACAGAGAAGACTTTGTCTGTGTTCTGCGTAAAAGTTTTGAAGTTCTATTTACACAGTCCAAGTACACAAACACGTGCTTAGGTAGAGACTGTATCTAAAACGTGAAAAGTGGATTTCAGTCCAATATTTATTAATAGTCAGAAACACATTTATAGTTCAAAATGACAATACACACTACAATAAAGCACTGCCAGCTGCACTAATACTAAAACAACAGAACATTTTGTAAACATATAAATAAATAGTTAAGTTAATGAGCCACAGTCACTATGAAAACTGTTCCTGTCTCAGTGCCTCAAGGTTCGGCCTCTCTCCCTGGCGGGTGAGCTGTACTGGAAGAAGGTCTGGGCTCCGTCGGCCTCCAGGCCGGAGAACAATCTGCTGTCCCCATCGTGGCCCACAGAGAGGAACTGAGGGCTTCTCCTGGGAGTTGCCTGCTGAGGCGCCCCTGGGTGACACACAGGACATTGACGGATGTCTGTCATTGTTATACTGAGTGAAATTCCCTTACATAGACAATCAGCTCATTACTCCCACTGATGACCACTTCTTGACATCATGCCTACAGCTGTGTCTCCCTCTGTGCCATTTAACATTACTCTCTCTGTGCTTCCTTCCTACTCTCAATCAGCGCGGCCAAAACACGACAACCGATTTAATGACAGCATTCACCTCTCAGGCAGAAACGGACAAACACGTTATTTAACTTTTTCTTTAGTCCTGAATGAAAGTGATGGTCAGTATTTTCATTATAGGTTCATCTGTGGCCTAATTAATCAATCAAGTTGTCCTTTGGATTAGAAAATGTCAGAAAATTGTGAAGCTAAATGCCCATTGCAGTTTCCCAGAGCATAAGGTGACCTCTTGAAATTGTTTTGTCCGACCAACAGTCCAAAATTCAAAGGTACATTTTAGTTTAATAAATTCCTGGGAAAAAAAAGTTTAAAGTGCTTAAAAGATTTTCCAATACTAACCACTGTAAATAGAAAAAAAAATATATAATACTTCCTACTCATGATTTTCCTTGTTTATAAAGAGCAAGTTTCAAAACATTGGTGTATATGGAAGGACAGAATTTGTGCCTACGCTCACCTCAAATGTCCTGTTAAAGAGTGTAAAGGCATTAATCTAAGTTCAGTTGTTTTTACCAGTGTTGAAGCTGCGATGTGGCTGGGGCAGCGTGTCTCTGTCCCCCACACCCACCACCATGTTGCGCAGCCTCAGAGAGTCGTACAGCCCCTGCAGTTTCTGGTACTGCCTGTTCCTCTCCATCAGCCTCTCCGACATCTCGCTGTACTTCCTTTTATACTCATCCATCACCTGAAGGAAACAAGGTTTTATACATTTCTATATATTCTTCTGAACTTATATGTTTCAGCTTTCTGAATCAACTAAAATCACTGTGTGCTCCTAAAAGTTAAGGTTTGAAGATCATGAGCACAGATGAGGAAAGAAAGAGGCAGAGATAATGAAAATGGTCCTTTTGTACAATCTTATCTCGGGTGTAGCTCATTACAGTATGGCAACGGCAGGTCAGAGGACATGTTGAGTTATTTTTACCCAAAGTGGACTAACCCAATTAATTTTCTTAGGGGCTCATTTAAAATGTGATGTAATAAATTGTGGTTTACTTTCTTCAGGGAGGCGATTTCCCCCCTCATGGCGGAGAGCTCCAGTTCTCTGCTCTGGTTCTGCTGGGTCAACACCTTTTCCATCTGCTTCAGCTGTGCCTCTGCCTGTGACAGACTGTACTCTTGATACATACGCTCTTGATGGACCTGTTTACAAAGAGGGGAAAAGAGAAGATGTTACAAGAATCGCAGATTCAGAGTTATACTATGTTCATATACATACAGACCAAAAGATATTTTACCTGATAGCTCCAGAAGGCCATAGCACGGGCACTGATGTCCAGAACTACGTCTGGTCGCAGACCTGCCAGCACCATGGCTTTGTACTCCTCAGAGGGCGACAGCTCCATCCTCATAATGTCCAGCTTCCCAGACAGAGCAGAGGAGCAGGCTGGGCAGATGGCGGGGGAACGGCTGAACTCACCAGACCCGTGCTGATCGCAGAAAACATGTGAGCAAGCTGTGACCCAGGCGAAGCCGCTCAGCTTGGTCCGACACTTTGGCATGTTACACAGGAGTGTGTCATCGCAGAGAGACATGGCCATGACTGTGGAAAGCACAGTAACATTTCAGTAATGGAGATCAGCGCAGTCATCAACTGAGGGTTCGATAAAGCAATCACACACATTGAGTTTGAAGGACCTTAACCATATCAAGGTAAAGCAAATTTAAAAATCAATTTGGGACCATGCCTGTAAACTGGCATCCTTTGGCAGTGCCACGCCTCTGTGTGGAGTTATCACACTCTGTTTAACATCAACTTTTAAGAGGTTTTAAGAATTCATGGACCTGTGTGGTGAAATTTGGGGATTTGAAACACCAGTTGGGGGCTAAAAATCTGTAATGTTGTGTCTGAATAACTGAATTGAAGTCTTACTGTTGGCTGAGACATTATATTGGTCACTGTCGGGACTTTCGCAGAGACGAAATGCCTTATTCGTTACATTATTCAAGACCACCCACTGGTTGTCAAAAACATTCAGTTTTACTTTCTGTAGGTGTGCTGTTAACAAGTGAAGTTAATAAACCCACTTCAAATAACCTCTAATTATAATAAGTTGTACTGGGAATTTGTTTTACCAACTTCTTAACTAACTTTAAAAAGTTTAGGTTTCATAGCTGAACGTTACATCATCTGCCGTTAACCTAACTGCTGTTAGCATTAGCAGGCTAGCAGGTAAAGTATTGAGCTCCGGCTGAACGTTTATGTCCTCTTTCTGTTCAGCGGCTGCTTTTTGGAGCAATAAACTACTTTGACTTTTAAAAGTATATTTTCTATAAAACGTAAACAGATACCTGAACTTTAACGGGACAACGCCGGTGTTTTTACTGTTAATTTCGGGGAGACACACACCCTTCACCAGGTAACAGCAGGTGACGTAACCTGAATACTGTGATCTGATTGGCTGATTGCAACTGAATCTCTCCACAGTTAAATCTGAAAACATTTCCTGCAGGTGTTTTACAATTTATCTACAACATGTTTCAAGGCTTTATAGGCTCGATTTGAGACATGTTCAGGACAAAGAGAGAAATCAAGGTTTTTTTCTCTGGAACTACTTTTGGTAGGCTATACCCTCCTTTATACAATGAATAATGAATAATAATAATAATAATGATAAAATAACACATACATTCAGTAATTTAACTTAACTAATAAAGAGTATTTTTATAATGTGGCATTGTTACTAAAGAGTCTCTCCACTTACCTACTGAATATGGCACTTAAAGCACCCTGGACTTTGACTTGACATGAAAATTTGTATATATATTTTCCAGGTGATGCTATGAGCATGCATGAAGTCAGAGACTTCATTGAGCAGCCCTTTAGACAAACATGGGAGTTATATCCCCCTAATCAAATAATGCCCTTCTTTCTCCTCTGGTGTATATAGGCCTATATGTAAAACGTGAGACACCTTCTTAAATATGCCCGCCCCCCTCCTTCCACTCTCTCTCTCTCTCTCTGTCTCTCTCTTTTTCTCTTTTATCCTTTTCTCCACGTGGTACAGGAGTAAAGGCGGGGGGTGAAAGAGGGGCATTGTGCTGTGCAGCAGTGGATCCGGGGGTTCATAGTGAGAGAGGGGAGATGCTCACTCAACTGTGTCCAGCACGCCATTGTCAAAGATTCCCATCTATTCTCTGCCTTTTAAATAGAGCTCCAGTGTAAGATGCTTTTTGGGGGGAGGGCGGGTGGGGGGTATTAAGCGCTTAGTGATAACACACGAAATACATGCATGCATGTGGAAAAGCTGTGTGGCCCCACTTGCACACAGCAGCCACTCACTGCACTGTTGTTAATAATTGGCCCTATGGAAATCAAAGGGTAGAAATATCGCCTGCTCGCTCCTCATCCGGCACAATAACACCACTGGGAAGACAGATTTTTGACTGATGGAAACCACCTGCCAGTCAATTATTGTGGCTATGATTTCATAATTTCCAACTTGCTGAGAATCAGAACGTAGATGCACTACACCTGGAAGTCCAAACAGATGTCACCTGTTAGCTCGACTTATTTAAGGCATGTTACTGCCTCTTAATTTGACCCATGATGATGTTATTCTCTTCCAGGAATTATAGCAGAATTTATCCTTAACAACATAGCCAATTCTACCGACTATTTAAATTTGTTTTTTAGACCTCCAACGGCTCTGACAACCAATTGTCTTGTTTTATTGAAAGTTTATAGCTGCTGCCTGAGTGTGTAAAGAAAAATAAAGCTGGGGAGAAAGAGAAAGAGAGAACCAGGGAGGCTGTGTGTTACACGCCATTGAAATGCAAATATCATTGAAGAACAAGGAGTGGTTCTGTGTGTGTGTGTGTGTGTGTGTGTGTGTGTGTGTGTGTTCCCTGTATGTGCATGCAGCGGAGCAGCAGTAGGAGAGGAGGGGCGCAAATTGGACAAGTTTTTTTTGGGAAAAGAGACTTTAGAAAACAGCCACACACACGCACATACGGCTGCTTCACATGACACGGTGCAGACCTGCGGATTTCCAAACACCTATGTCACATATTTTGACTTTCTTCCACACAACAAAATGCTCTTTTTTCTTTAAGAAGTGATCCTACACAGTTTCTTTTCAGAAATTTCCTTTTTATCTCAGGGCTTGCGGGACTTTTGAACTTTAGATGCTTGGATGGTTTCAGGAGCACTTCCAAGTGCGCAGCAACTTGCCTACTGCCTTTCAACCAACTGATGCCCCCTCCTCTGTCTGACTCGCCGTGAATCATGTCACGCCGGAAGCAGAAGCGACCCCAGCATCTTGTTAACGCGGATCCGGGGGGCCCACGGCTGCTATCTCACGGTGAGAAAACATCTTTACGACCGTGCATGCTTTTTTTGTTGCGTGTGTTCTTGAAAGAGGGCAACCACCCTGCAACCTAGTGGTGCTCATCACTGCACGCGGAATTAACTTTCAGAGTGTGAAAATCTTCAAAGAACAAAGAGGAAAAGGCAAATGTTTGGGTTTAGACTAGAATTGTATAGGCTACTATTTATTGAGTGGTTTCTCGTTGATTACTGTCGTTTTTATAAGTTTATTTATGCACAAGGCCACATTCCAACAAACGCACCTGATTTAACAGACAAAAAAAGTTTTGAGATCTAAGTTTGTCAACCAAAGAAATCCCTCCTGCTTAATCATTCATTGTAATGGGCCCCACTAAATGGAGGCCTTAGGCGCTTTGGTTGGGGCCAATAAACTTGTCCCTGTGAAGTGAATAGAGGAGGATTAACTAACATACATCTGTGGCCATTTTCATGTGTTGTTCGTCATCTAGGAAACCAACAGGCTGCTCAGAGCTGACCGCTGGAGGTCTTTGATTAGTATAGAGCACTCTCTTATTTGTTAACAATAAGGTGCATGGGCGGGGGGAAGGGAAGGCAGTGCATTTGGTAAAGATTAATCTTCCACCCTTCTATTCTCTTCTTCTTTTGCTCTTCGTCCATGCTTTTCTCTTTCCCTATTTCCACCTTCTCAATACTTCCCTCCCCTTTCTTGCTCCTTCTTTCTCACCCCCTCAGCCCTATTGACTGTATACCCTTAAACACATTGTGGGGGTGGGGGTGAGATGGGTGAGAAAAAAGATTTAGGGGTGATAGAGAGATTGCTCTGGCACTTGTTCTGTGTTGCAGTGGTTATATCCTATATCTTCAAGTGCATGTGCCTGAGACTCTGCAGGTAAACTTCCACAAATGAAAGTTGAGTCTTTGAGTTATTTTTGTGTTTCCTGCAGGTTCAGGTTTGTTTATCAGTCAGAGCGAAAGAATTTCACAGAGGTACAGTCTTTCATTCCATCACTATATCTCTCCAGGAGGGAATAGTTAGTTAGTCTCTCCATTGTTGTTACCCTCCCCCCTTCTTTTTTCTTTTACTCTTTCTCACTCTGTGCTTGAGATTCTGAAAGAATTTGACCCCTGAGCAGCAGAGGTCAGATTAGTTGACCAATCAGAGTGTCTGGACAGTGCCCAGAACCCTTAGCGTGGCCTGACCCTTGACCTCCACTGTGACGTAAGGGGGAAGGGTGAATAGCGAGATGAAAGATGTAACTGCTGTAGGGAGGGGGAGGGTTAAGAGGGGTTATGGGTTGTCTTGGTGATGCTCATTGTCCTCTAAAATGTGTTGCCATAGCAGCAAGGTGGTCTGTAAGCTTTTTGTGTGTGCAAGATGTTTGAGGAGTTTTGCTCTGCAGAGCACAGATTGAGACAAGACATTACAAAGACTCATGGACTGCAGAGTTTCTTTCCACTTGTTTATTTTTTTTGTTAAAGGCCGTTTCTTTTGAAGTCGTAACTGGATCTTTTGGTATGCACACAAATATGCAAACAACATTTGTAAACAGCATCTTGATGCATTGAAATAAACAGACTCTGTAGCTGAAGCAGAATGTTTTTAGGAATTTACTTACCTGGGTATCAGGGCTGATGTTGGAGATTTAGTATTGTATAATAATGTCCTTGCAAAGAAACAAACTGCATTTAAAGAAAAAAAACCCTCTTATTCTCCTTTTTACTGTCAATTCTTAGATGACCACCTGGGCATGAAGTCACCGTCGACATCTCTTGGCTCAGAAGTGACCTCATCAGAGTCCTCCTCGTCGTCCCCTACTTCTCTCCAAGACTGCCAGCCACCTCTGGCCCCTCGCCCATCCCCTGGTGGGCTCCACGCGCCCTCCTTACCCAGCGAGAGCTCGCCTCCCCCCCACTGGCCCAGCCACATCGCCCCCTTCAGCACCTCACTCCCCAACACCCACTCTTCCCTCTCCCCAGACTTTCCTCACCCCTCACTCTCATCCCAGACTCACTCGCCTCCTCCCCTGGGTCAAACCTCAGGTTCCCACAGCCTCTCCCACCAAGGAAACTCTCATTCCACCATGACCTCCCCACCGATGGGCAGCTCAGCCACCACCACTACCTCTTCCTCTTCTTCCTCCTCTTCGTCTTCTCAGTGTGTGCTGCCTCACCGCGACAGCTCCAGTCCAGGTCATCAGCAGGCCTCCAGCTCCCCGGGGCAGCAGGGACAGATCCAGGTGTCGCCAACCCTAGCGGTACTCCTGGAGGAGCTGAGGGTTTTACAGCAGAGGCAAATCCACCAGATGCAGATAACAGAGGAGATCTGTAGGCACGTTCTAAGGCTTGGAGGGGCTGTCTTTGGCCGTGATAATAACACACAGGCCAGTGGTGCAGACAGCAATCAGAAGTCTACAGGAGCAGCATCTTCATCACCAACACACCCTTCTACTGCCACACCAGTAACCACAGTCTCATCGCTTTTGACTGGCTTTCCATCTTCACTTTTCCCCCAGCCATCCGTATCCAAATCAGGACCTTCACATGTCAATGGCAGCAGAGCTCTATCATCCTCTACCTCTTCCTCATCTATTTCATCCACTATCAGCTCCTCTGTTGCCTCCTTACATCCTCTGTCCTTGTCACTGGGCCTACCGCCGCGCTACCTCCATGAGAAATCATCCAACACCTCCTCATTTGGTCAGAGTAATGGTATCAGTTTCCCAACTACTCCCCTTCCTACCACCAGCCACTCCCAGGATCTCCAGCCCAGCTCCTCTCTGGGCTCTGCCTCCTCATCAGGACGCCCTCAACATGCATGCCGTTTTTGTGGGAAGGTGCTAAGCAGCGATTCATCACTCCAGATCCATCTTAGGTCACATACAGGTGAAAGACCCTACCAGTGTCCAGTCTGCTTGAGCCGTTTTACAACCAGGGGGAACCTCAAAGCCCATTTCCTGCGACACAGAGAGCAGAACCCAGAGCTGTCCCTCTCCCTGCTGCCCCCAGCACTGTCGGAGCAAATGCAGAGCAGCTCTGCTCCTGCTTCCATCCAGCGAAGGAGAAAACGCCGGGCTGATGATGACGAGCCATTTAATC